ACAATTCACGGCTAATAGATCAAGCTAACACTGATCCAAGTACTTCAGTAAGATAATTCTCTGAATGACTGGCAGTTTACCAAATAAGAACAACCAACTCAGTGCTTCGATGATTCTTGTAGTTATAATCTATTCTTGTTCTCTATACTTCCCTAATTTACTAGATACATGACGCCAATATCTATAACTTTCTAGGTATTCTAAGCTTACTTTCATAAACTTAACTTGATCTTAACGTCATTCGCCTTCTAGCTAACATCCCATCTAAATCATTGAAAATATAGCTTACAACAGTATTATCATTTCGTCGTTTTTTCCTGTGTAAAAGCTTTAAAAACAAAATGATAGCAACAACATAGGTTTGTACAAATTTTATACCTATTGCTGTTGTTTTTACTTGAACGGACAAATATTTTCGCTTTTTTTTATTTTGTTCTTTCAAGTACAAACTTTTAGCCTCATATCTCCATCATTTCTTGACTGTTGTGAGATCTAATTACAGTTTGGGACTCAGGAGGTCAAATCCTGTCGATTGATTATTTGACCAGGTCTAAGGTCTCTAATCCCAACTAAAAGAATTTCAGTTTGAGGTAGGCTGGTAGAGATCTTAATCAGTAATAATATTGAATCTGGTATACGCGGCCCCACACTTAGTATTGTTTGCGCACAAAATATATAGCTAACAAAAAGAAGAAAAAGTCTCATACATGAATTTACTCTAATCCTGCCTAAACGAATGTTCATCTTGTTTATGCGAGTAGACACCTTCGGGGCACATTATTTAACTATTGACACAATACACCTTCTATTGTTGTCAAGGCAGATCATAGTACAAATAAGGAATCTGCCACTCAGACTTTAATTCTTAAATAATACGTGTGAACCGTATCACCCATATCATTCGTATATTCATTACCTGTACGTAACTTTACATATAACTGCTATTTGTACCTGTCAGTAACTAGGTCATAAGGAGAATAACATGTCATTATTGAGATCATGCATGTGTTAGGTCTTTCTCACTTTTCATTTGCATTTTCTCTAGTTCTCGGGAATAAAAGTTACAAGTCCTATAAATTTATACTAGGACTAAAATTGTGTTCTAATTAACATGCTGAGAGAATTATTAGTAACATTTAGAGCATCATTAAGACTTTGCAGCCTGGAATAAACATCACCGACGATTCTTTCAACAATTAGTCCCATAAATATGGAGCATGTTTTGATATTTTTGACGGTTTTCAACAGCGAAAGTTGACGATAGAATTTAATCAAATGGCCTAGCGTGATATGAAACCTATTGTGTATTGTTATTGTTATTAAACGAACTACCGGTACACGTTCCAGATTTATATCTATGTGCATATTCCAACTCTAGAATGATCTTTTCTCATGTTAGTGAAAAAATATAAATGGCAATTAAAGCTATATATATATATACGTTAACAAAGCACTGTAATTTTCTACAGGAAAAACTATAAAACCTCTGTGATTTATCCGTTGCCTGACTGCTTTTATTCAAATAACATTACAAGTGATTGGAAATACATTAAAGTGTAAACGAGAGTAATGCATTCGTATTGTTACGACAGCGGGGGTCACGTGACTCTAGTAACACGTCATATTCTCGAAGGTTCGTGAATGCTCGAGTGTTACTAGATATGCGGTTTCATGTATATAAGACCGCCAAGAAGTGATGGCAACAATGGAATGCATTTGAATTGCAGAGATAGAGACGGACAGTTGGGTCGAGCGCGTGTG